GTTTCTGCCATGTTCAACCAAATAATTTCGACCTGTACTGACAGCCGCTTTCGTCCCACCATTTTTTCTCCGTTAACACATCTCCGAAGGAGGTTGAAACCAGTACACATGTGAAATAATCAAAAACTATCGGACACGAAGTCGAATCTTCGTGGTTTTAAACTTTCGCAAGCGAAATCTTTAGCTCGACGACATATCTGTTCGCAGCTATTGGGTGATATGTACACACTCTCTTCTTCAAAAAATTATATCCAATACCGCTTCGTATGTCGTACTATTGGTTTCTAGAGTCGAGTTTGACTTATCAGGACAGCTTTCAACACAAAGCTTCATGGAAAAGTTTCCAATCTCCTTTTCACAATGACACGTGATATTGGAGCAGGAGAGACTCACTTCTGGACAAAAGTCATCCGTTTCCAATCTGCAATGTCTATAAAAACATACAGGCGGTGTTGACCATTCGCCCATCCTCGCATGTTGACTGCGCCAGCCCATACATCTGTAAATCTTCGTTGCATGTGTATTTGACACTAGACCCGTCCAATATGGTTTCATTTAACATGCCAGCGATTTTACTTCCAGTGTAGTAAATTTATTCCAGAGGGTGTAAGAATGTCTGCTTCCAGGAACTCACCACCTTCGATGTACCTTGGAGCCGCACAGACCTTTTTACAGGCAAGTTTGTTGCCATTTGTCCACTTTCCCCAATTGTCCGCACTCTGCCTCGCTCAAACGCTGTTCAATTTGGTATCCCGTGTTTGCAATTTACTATAGCCTTTGAGCCAATACTTTTCACATTCCCTTTAGCGATGCCATTGTCAACATATAAGTCTGTGCAGTCACGAAACTCACATTTTTTGTCATCAACACACACCATACCGTGTTCACACCTGTTATCACATAGGTCCACGTGATCAGCTTCTTTCTGTTTAAACACATAACCTGGTGCGATTGATAAATGTTGTTTCTCTATTGCCGTTTTAGGATTTCAGCTCGCAAAGTTTCTTAAGTCTGTGATAGTTGACAGAGCCACAATTGTTCCTATTGTTACATTCTGTCGTACACGATTCCATGCTCAATGTGACCAAAAGTGTTGATAACGTTCACATCCAACTTTTTCGTCCAAAAATCATCTTTTTGTGCAACAACAACCGGAATGCAATAACCAGCTAGCATAAAAGCATGCAATAAAGGAATGCAAAAATTTTGCCAGTCCATTTTCATCTTCCCTTATAAAAAGTGGACACACTAATTCGAATCCAAGATATACTGAACGTCTTAAATTTAAATTCTTAGCACTTAAAATGGTGTTTTCAAATGTACATGTTTGCGACATAGATTATTCATGAAACAAAGCGAACATCAAAAGTAGTAATGGAGAAACATTCAATTATTCACAAAGTTAAACAGACGTATCCTTTACATGTACTAAGAAAATAAAACAGACGTATCCTTTACATGTACTAAGAAAATAAACTTTCTTTAAACTGTCTATCAATAAGGATATACATTTCTTTTACATAACTGGGATTGGTTACCATTAATCAGCAGAGTTACAATTGCGTCTGCCAGTTGTCCTTACCTTGCTGCCAAGATTTCGTTAAGGTTGCGTCACATTTCTGAACAGAATATGAAATGTGCAACTGTTAATCATTTGCACAGGACAGGATGAATATTTAAAATAAATACAAGTCTTAGCAGTTTAACCGTTTCTCAGCTATTTGTTTTCAACTCAAAATTTATTGTACAGTTCCATCAAATCAAACAGCCAGTCATATTCGTGTACAAAGAATCATTAGGTCTTAACCTGATGTACATGATTTTTTTACCTTTTAATTTGTTTTAAATCAGTGTATTTCAAAGGAATCCCATCATAACAATGTCCATTCAAAATCAGAAATTGTGAGGTTCACCCGACTTCAAAGAGAATAGTTACAACTCGCATTAGTAACACAATAAAATGTAAAAAGTATTTTTTAGGCAGGATACAAATTATTTATTTTGTACCACTCTCACCACCACCTTAGTTATGTAGCAACATTCAACTGATACTAGACAAAGTATTTTTATGGAAAAGGAGGAAAACAAAATGATCTTTTTAAAACTTTATTTATTTCTTTTCATGACAATGTTAATAAATTGAATGAACACATTAAATTGAGCATGTCAAACATTACAGTTATAATAAAAAAACATCTGACACATTTACAAAATAAAGTCTTGACCCATGTAAAGATCATAGTTCATTTTAAAACAGAAATGTGTTGTTTTTTTTCCTCAAAAAATTACTGGTATTTAATTAATACTTCAATTTTAATTAACATCTGCAAAACAGGACTTATATCATAGTTATATAATATCATATATTGCGTCAACAACTGGGGGTTTTCCTATTTAATCCTTGGGTACAAACAAGTTTTTACAGTTGCAACATGACTTCCAGTAAGTATATTTATAAGCGGAAAGCGTTGATCACTCTATCGTAAGGGGTATTTTTTACCGTCGAGCTTAACAGTAAGTTTAATTGTACACAAGTTTTATTTATCGCATGATTAGATGGGAAAAGCCATAGAATTTTACCTATTGATCATCAAAATCTGGAGCAGTGCAGGTTCCCAAGCTAAGAAATTTTTTTCCCTCACAAAAAATTGACCCTTAAATAATCAACTAATTTTAACCCCCAACGGCTAGTTCCATTATAAATCTAACCATTATCCTCATAGCAAAGGGAAGTGCATCACTTAATTCTTTACTTACAGCAAATAAATTATGCAAAAATGCTGCAGAAAATTGAAATAGTAAACATAACTTTAATACACATACATAGGTAAAAACATGATAAAAATTAATAAAATATAAAAATGTGATTCTGTGAAATCAAAAGAAATTAAAAACAATATATGTATCATATTTGGGCGCAAATTTAGTTATCATTTCAGTTGGGTTTTTTTTTTTTTTAGAAATAAACCTGTACTTCTGGCAAATGCCTGAAAACTTGTATCCAAGAAAACAATAAAAACTCTGCAATATAATACACTTGATGTACATTTGTGTATCTAAAATTTAATTGCTGTAAAAAAAAATGTTTTTATATATCTTTCATCTTTGTCATATCAATAAGATTGTAATTTTTTTTAGTTTATGGAATATGTACATGTGTGCAAATTTAAAGTATCAGATATCTTGAAAAACCCGTAAAGTTAGTGTTATTTTTTATTGCTTTTATATAGAAAGAGTGCTTTTCAGTAATAAAGAAACCCGTACTTCGCACAAATGCCTGAAATACTCGTACACATGTTACATGTATATAAATAACAGAAAAAAGACACAAGATTAAGAATAACCCAACCTATAAACCAAAGCATAAGCAGGTAGGAAATGGCAAAAACAAAGTAATCTATTTTTTTTTTCTCTCTCTCACTCTCAGACTAAAGGGTATTCTTTCATATTCCACATGCATGCAATTCAACATTTACGCCACTCATAACCTAAACATGCTTTGAGCAACTTATAATCAAAAAATGACTTATTAACAAATCAACAAATACCTACATACAATTCTACATGTCCTATTCTATCTAAACACAGGTATCACCTTTTTTTGGTCATTTATTATTTCTGCATAATATAAAAGTAGCATATTATATATACACACATTATGCAAAATCAATGTTTAACAGACATGCATATAAATATTCACAAATATTATTCATATGTTATAATGATACGTCAAGTATATACATGATATAGACTCTTATAATTCTATTGTAGAATGTCATATGTACTTTTTTATGAATTTTAATATGTTTTTATGTATATATTTATGCATATGAGAGACTGAAATAAACTAATAAACTATGTTGACAGTACAAGATCTGAAAATATGTTTAACCACAATCCTTAACACTGGTACAGTGAAAAATTGACACAAAATTTACGTGGATCCAAAACTCACACTGCAGGTTGCAACATAAGTTATTTTACAAAATTTTTCAGGAATATTTTACTGCAATTAAATATGAGACTTTAAAGTAAAAAATTGTATATCTTTGTATAAAATTCTGATAATATCCTAAAAAAATTTCCTATCAAGCACAAGTTAGCATATTACATAAAATAATACATACAACTTAAAATTTTCTAGACTATTATTTCAATACATGTACGGAACACTTTCATTCTATTTAGAAAAATTAACAATCACACTTAAAGCACCACCAAACATTCATTACAATTATAATATAATTATATTACGACCCTAACATTTAATGTATGGCATTTTCTTGTCTAAAAATAAATAATAAATTCTGACTATATATTAACATTCATGAGTCATCATTTAGTATTGACATATGTATTGTACAATATTAAAAATCAATGTACACATATATTAATATGAAAGACAAAAATACTTGACTGAATCAAAAGCTTATCCAAAATTTAGAGAAATTAAATTAAAAATTTATTGAATAAATCTTTTATTTTACATAAAAATTCTGCAATTTGACTACATAACTTTCATGGTCTTATTTTCTATATAAAGTCCCATGCAGCTAAAAGAAAGGCAATAAAAACGACTTTTAACTACTGATATGTGCTTAAGTGCAAAATCTCTTAATGGTTATGCTTTATAGTAACATTGTTCTTTTATGAACAAAGTCCTAAAATATACAATTTTAAAATTGATTTTCTTCGAATATCGAATTCATACCATACCACTTGTATGTTAAATTGTTTTCATTAATACAAAATTTCATTAACAAACATATCCAAATTCTATTATTATACTTCACTTTTTGATAGATTATTTTTCTTAATTTCATATTTTTGTTCTAGAGTGTTTATTTTGCATATATCTTATTACCAATAAAGACATATTTCACAACTTTGCAGGAATCACATTTGGTCTTTCTCTCTGTGAGTCATTTTTTTTCTTTATTTTATCAATACATACCATTACTTTGAAAATTTCTATAATATTTTGGAATTTTTTTTTTAACTTTTTAACAAGCAAGTTCTTGTTAATAAAAACTGGCCCAAGTCTACCAACATTACAATTTGGGACCTGATCTTGAATATTTTTTTTTTTTTTGCAGACTGTATCTCAGTCGAGAAGATACAAACACAGGTGGTCCAAACACATCTGGTGGTCCAGACTGTGTTAAAAAATTAAAACTGTAGACTGTATCTCAATTGTTCTGCAGTTTAGTCCCACACCAGACTGTGCTTTAAAAACAAGAACACAAACTTTGTTCAAACTGAAATCAGCATCATCATTTTGGCAAACCTTCTTTCAGAATGGTTGATACCAGAACTTTATCCTGCATGGTATGCTCCAATTCTCTCTCATCAAGTTTCAATGTCACCTATAACAAAAAAATATAATAAAGATATAAATGAAATTTGATAATAAAATAAAAATATTTCATTCAGAGAAAGTCCAAATGTAAGTTACGGCCAAGCTTTGGCACCTTGCTCTTATCAAATACATTTGTCCGGTTTTTTATGTCAATTTCAATACATTTTTTGACAGCCCACCTTACTTGCTTTCCTCATTAATTAAGCAGCAAAACCCAATTTCTTAGCAAGTGACAGACTACTTATTTTACATGATTTTTGAATAAGCAGTGGAAACAACAAGAGCTGTCCGTAAGACAGCGCGCTCGACTTTTTTATTGCTTGCCAATAAAAAAAGTTTTTGCAGTAAAAGGCAATACAAGAATCTCTGTATTTTTAAAGTGAACAATGGCCATGAGCATTAACATATTTAGTGAAGAATTATTTTATTATGACATAATTTATGGTAAAGTGAACAAGTGGATAGGAATGAATTTTTTTAGATTTTTTAAGTCTTTTAGTGCTTGCCTATAATACAAAACATTGACAGTTAAGGGCCATAATTCAAATAAAATCTTTGACAGAATTACCTTCTCCTGGACATGTTTGGGAATCATGATTGTAAACAAGTATTCCAACTTTCAAATTAATATCTCAAACAGTTCAGTCAAAAAGTGGACTGGTACTAAAAACTTAACCAAGATTCTAAGTCGATAAAAGGCCTTAATTTTTAAAACAAATCCTTGACAGAGTTACCTTCTCTCTTGCGTACAGATGGGGTAATGATGTGAAATAGCATTAAAAGTTTCAAAGCAATATCTCAAAGGGTTAAGGCAATAAGTGGATTTTACCCATATTCAATGTATTTTCTAAGTCAAAAAGGGGCATAATTCTGTCAAAAACCTTGACAGAGTTATGTCCTCTTGTCTGTTGATGAAGGTCGTGATGGTAAACAAGTATGGTCAGTTTCAAAGCAATACCTCCAATGGTTTTGAAATAAAGTGAGGTGGTACAAAAAACTTAACCAAGCTCAATACACTTTCTAAGTCAAAAAAGGGCCATAATTCTGTCAAAAACCTTGACAGAGTTATGTACTCTTGTCTGTAGATGGAGGTTATGATGGTGAACAAGTATGGTAAGTTTCAAAGCCATACTTGTAATACTTCTGAAATAAAGTGGGGTGGTACTAAAAACTTAACCAAGATTCTAAGTCGATAAAAGGCCTTAATTTTTAAAACAAATCCTTGACAGAGTTACCTTCTCTTGCGTACAGATGGGGGTAATGATGTGAAATAGCATTAAAAGTTTCAAAGCAATATCTCAAAGGGTTAAGGCAATAAGTGGATTTTACCCATATTCAATGTATTTTCTAAGTCAAAAAGGGGCATAATTCTGTCAAAAACCTTGACAGAGTTATGTCCTCTTGTCTGTTGATGAAGGTCGTGATGGTAAACAAGTATGGTCAGTTTCAAAGCAATACCTCCAATGGTTTTGAAATAAAGTGAGGTGGTACAAAAAACTTAACCAAGCTCAATACACTTTCTAAGTCAAAAAAGGGCCATAATTCTGTCAAAAACCTTGACAGAGTTATGTACTCTTGTCTGTAGATGGAGGTTATGATGGTGAACAAGTATGGTAAGTTTCAAAGACATACTTGTAATACTTCTGAAATAAAGTGGGGTGGTACGAAAAACTAAAACGCCGACGCCGGGGCGAGTAGGATAGCTCCCCTTTTCATAGAAAAGTCGAGCTAAAAATGACCTTCGGACTAAATGACCCAAATCAATTGTCATGAAGAAACTCTCTGCCTTACTGCAAATAACTTAATCCAAATGAGGATAAAGCTGCAGGTATGCAATATTTGAACTGAGATACTATCTAATTGCTTAACTGCGCGATTTCTTTGTAGCAGTTTTGAACAGGCACATAATTTATAGACCAACAGCAATAATCAGAACAAAATGCTATAAATTATATACTTAAAATTTTGTTTACATTTTACATCATTTTTACACCTATGTTAACACAATATTTTGGTAAATATTTAAACTGCTATTTACCTTATTCAGTCTGGTCTCCTTGGCTTTTTTGATACCAATCATTCCACGAGACTCTAGTAAAGTTATAACACCCTGAAACTCTGTCTGATCAATGGCTGCCATCTGACGGTTCTTGCATATTTTACAGTATATTTCATGCAACTGAAAATACATTTATAAACATGTATAACAACAAATTTACACCTTTCTTTATAAAAACAAAAAACATCATCCATTTTGTATAATGTATACATTTTGTCTGGTTTCTTAAAAAGTCATCTCTGCTGTACAACATCATTTAATAACTCAGGATATTTTATAGTTGTTTTTTTTTATGTAATGAAAATTAAAATGGGGGGTTTTCTCCCTTAAAACAATATCTTAAAACTATTAGTACACCAAATATATTAAATGTATTGTAAGACTTTGTTTGGCTGTAGCCACTTAACACTATCATAGCTGTTTGCTAGTAAACATTCCTATATTCTGTTCTAGTGTAACTCATATAAACAACACTGTTTGAAATATTGCTCCCCCTATCAAACTAATAAGGGGAGCTAATTGCACTAACACAGGTGATTTTTATTTCTAAGATAAATTCAAACAGACTTACTTTCCCAGCAGGCACTTCTTTCATCTTTCCTTGTTTTAACATCAACAACAGACTACAGACTATGAGTTTTTGTTGTAGAGGTATGGTCTCTTGTTGCTGGGCGGCCGACCCGCTACCATAGATGTCAGATAACACGTTGTTTATATGTAGCACACCGATCTTCTTTGGCACTTTTGGTGAACATTTGGAAGGGCTGCTCATAGCTGTAAAGGTGAGGAAAATGTCAACTAGTATCTCCCTACAGTAAACATTTTACAAGATAATCAAGAAGAATTATGGTTATCTTTCCATATAAGCCTAAAAAAGCATTCCGTATTTTCACTGCCTTTAAATAATGTTTAATAAAAACTAATTAACAAGCTGTAGTATAACAATTAGATACTCAGAAGCAAAGTAACTAGGTACTGTTATAATATCAGTCCTAAGAATGTGTTCAAGATAAAAAACTTAGTCTTGAGGGCACATTGTAAATAAAATTAATTCACTATATTTATGCTCCACTTCAGAAGTAACTCAAGTGATTAATGTCAGTATTTACACCAAATCAAAATACAAAGAATTCTGTTGCGTCAATCCTTTAATATTTTAGAAAGTAGATTTAATTACTTGAATCTGAAGATTTCAACACTCGCTGACTTTTGACATCTGTCTCTACCAGCTCCACTGCTCGTCTGCATACGTCTAGAGCCTTTCTCATATCACCAGCGACCGCTGATATCTTACGTGCGCAAAACTGTATGGCCGTTCCATCCATAACAGCTGATCCTTCGTTCTCTAACTGTAAAATAACAATTTATATAATGATAGATCCCATCTATCTTGACTGCAGGGATTTTTTTGGGCTTATTTTATAGCAGATATCCAGTCATATTCTTAATTGTATATTATTTTCCCAATACACAGGAAAGAATTCCCGATTGAAAGTCACAAAATAAAAATATTGAATAAAAAATTCCAAAATCTTTCCAAGTAAGGACTTCTTCAATGTTGTAGCGCTTAAAATCCTTAAAAATGCGATCCTAGACGGTGATTGGTTGAATTGCAACAGTTTGCAAAATTTCAGTCATGCACGTTTTCTTTATTTTTAACAAAACATTCCCTATTCCTTGGGTATGGGTCCTATTCTGAAAATCCTGGAAAAAAATCTGTGACTATATACAAGACAGATATGATAAAACAGGCAAAAGTTAAAATTGTATTTTCAGACAGTAGATTAAAATATCCCTCTTGACCCATAACCACATTGGTTCTTTTCGTCAACACATCTTTGCCTCAAGATAAAAATGAGAACCCTGCATCTCCGCTGACAAATCCCAAACATCCCGAAAGATTTTCAGGTATTTCTCACCAAGGCATGAAGAAACTATGCAACAAAATATTACAAAATCAAGGAAGAAACCTGCGACTTACATCTTTAATCCTATCTTTCAGTATTGTGGCTATCTGATCTTTCGTGTATGGTGCAAAATTCAGGAGTTTAGGTTTACAGTTAGGTCGTGCTTGAAGTCTGGGTAACACTCGATCTGTCAGATCTAGGGCATTAGCAATACCTGTAGAATATACAGAAATTATACTTATCTTTTGGTATACTATTAAAAAACATTATATCAGAAATGATAATAACAAAATAGATTTAAATTGACAATATCATGTGGCAATAATATATTTTAAATGCATATTTTCAACTTGGCACAAGCGTTCAAAAGTCAAAACTATAATGTTTGTTATCTAAGCCTTTGAATAGTTGCAACTATAAAAACTTGCCAACAACACCGAAGAAATATTTTGACCAGTTCCACTCGACATGTGCAGTCTAACCTAGTGCTAGTTTTAGCTGCTATATTTTTCAATATTTTGATTATATTATCACCTACAATTACAATGGACAATTCCAAATCAATGAACAAATCCATTACAAGGATTGCTGCTTAGAAAAAAAAAAACAATTAAGTACAATTGCAAAGTGTTGAACCATTGTTAAAACTGAATAGGTTTGAAATTTCCTTCTTTGTTTTGGAGCACAAAAATACAAACATTCAGAAATAATTCTTAAACCTTTAACCCGTGTATATTACACACATACTATTTTATAAAACAGTAAGTTTCTCACTGAATAGGTTTGAAATTTCCTTCTTTGTTTTGGAGCACAAAAATACAAACATTCAGAAATAATTCTTAAACCTTTAACCCGTGTATATAACACACATACTATTTTATAAAACAGTAAGTTTCTCACCAACAAGTATAAGTCTGGATTTCTTCAGGGACGGCCATTCAAATATAGTGTACAGGATCTCCTGATTCTTACTGTCTAGCTGATCTATCTCATCTAACACAAGAATTCTAAAATACAATCCAAAATAAAAGTATATTGATTGATATTAAAATAATAACAACCCCCACCCACACAAAATTAGATTGACTTGCAAAGCTGGGCTTAACTAGTACATTTGGACATTGTATGGTTACAAGTTCCCGAAAATTGTAGATCCAATTCAAATTGTTCTGTAATTTTTGAAGGACCAAGTCTTTCTAACATAGAAATCTGAAAAGCAGTATTTTTTAAAATCATTTTTATACGCTAAATTTTCTACAGACAGGCAGGGCTTTGGACGAGTCTTGTCAATAGCTGTAAACTTATTGTGAGCCCTTTGTTACAATAAAAACCTGTAAAAATGTGATCAAGAGACAGAAAGTGACTTCTTATGAAATGAAACCAATATGCCAGACAGTTCTACAATATAAATTCAAACACGCTTCTCTCTTTTCCCCTATCAAACTGCACAGACAACAGCAATCAAAGTACACAATTACATTGCATAGAAAAAGGAATGTTTACCCATCAGCATTAGATAGGACATCAGGAAAATTACTTTTATGCTCAATGTAGTTCAACATACTTGTATCAACTCTCTTTTTTATTGGCATCTTAGAATGGAAATAGATATTAATTTTTTTTTCTTGCTTTTTTTCTTACTTGCATTTATATAGTATAATAATGCATAGTTTATCCTTCAAATGCTTTGTAATTAACCACTCAAACCTATCAGACTTTTTTTGATTATATTTTACAAAATTTTAAAATTCAACTGTGGGATTTTTTCTATGACAAGGCCCCTAAAAAAAATTTAAAATCTATTTTTTAAATTTTAAAATCATTGGTAATAAAAATTGAAATTTTTTTTACTTTCATTGACGGTCCCTCCAAATTGGGTAGAACTCTCTCAAAAGCACGAAAAACGTTCCCCTTTTGCTGTTTGGGGCATTTTTTTCCCTAATTCCGGGGTAAAAAATTTACCATAAAACTGGCCCCCGAGGGTTTTTAGTGGGCATACAGTTTAAATACACCGTCTTACAACTGTGGTGAGCCTAAAACAAATCAACAGATAAAATGTTAGTGTCACAAAATCATGTTTAAATATTTAATACAAAGCAGAATTGTAATCTTGCAGATTGCGTAATTTTTTTTTCACAAGTGAAAAACAATAATTGGTTTCAGAATTAAATGTGTGCATCCTTCAATTAAATTGTTAAAAAAATAAGACTGACATCAAGGGACGTGCTGCTTCCACTGAAGTTTTTCAATGCCCTATTAAAAAGTCACATTAACAAATCAATTTTCACAAGTCAAAATAACCTTATTATTTTCAAGTTAATAGTCAGGATAGAAGTGAATTACCCTCATCTCATCTATAATACTTGTCAACACGGCAGTTTTCCCCGTGCCGGGCGCTCCAGAAATATACAAACTTCCCGCAGTTTTCCTGGTCATGTGACCTTTCATAAACGCTCGCACCTCCCCAATCTCTTTGTCCCTACCAACCAGTCTTTCTGGTTTTGCCGTGTGAAACATCTGCTTGGCTTTGTGGTAGGCAGCACCTGAAAAATTAATTACAGTCAACGATTAATCAAATGTTTTCCTCTACTGTACAGGGTATTACCCTACTAAAAGGAAGCATTAGGTACAATAGTATGCTCCCAAATTCTATAATTGAAAGTCAAAGTTCTGTCAACTTTTTTAGAAATATGCAAAGAAACCATATTTTTCTCAGCAATATGTGTACAGAACACAATCTTTAATGTGCAGTTTGCATTATTTTTCTTAAATAACCTAATTAAGTTACACATTTTGCTCCTTTTATTCCAGAAGACAAAATTATGAATAAAAACACTGTAGAACTAAATTCTAGAATATTTAGATATATTTTAAATTAGATTAGTTTTAGAGTATTTCGACTTTCTTATATCTATTACCAGGTTTTGAGTTATATCTAAATGGTAAATCAGAGAAGAAAATTAAAGTTCGCCAATTAATATTAAAACATTGTCACATTAAGCCTCAGAAATATATTTTTTTCCATAGAAAGGGCAGACATTTATTATATAATGTCATAATGTATGTACAACATACAAGCATTTTTAAGGCTTAACGCGCCTTTAAAGTCACTTTTTTTTATATTATAAAGCAATAACATTACTAATACATACAGTCAAGTTTTCCCAGCTTTAAACTTGGAGACTTAATAGGGGATCTTTTTGTTGGGCTTTCAGCTTTTGCCTTTCTCGGTGATTTAACAGGTGATGAAAGTTCAGCCCTATGAAGGAAGTTCAGTTTCCGTGGTGATTTTTTTGGAGAAGTCATATCCGTTCTTTGAAGCATATTTAGTTTCCATGGTGATTTAACAGGTGATGCTAACAGAGCTTTTTCATCAAATTCTTGTTTCCTTGGTGATTTGACAGGAGATGACGGAGCAAGTCGTTGCTGCAAATTTAACTTTAGAGGTGATACTGTTCTCTCTAGAGGAGTTGTAAGTTTCAATGGTGATTTTACGGGTGACGAGAGCAGGTGATTCTGTAGACTGGTCACTTTAATAGGTGACAATGGACACCTAGGAGGTGAGACCTCTGTTATGACTGAAAAACAAATAAAAACCTTTGTTTACAACATGCAACAGATAAATGCATACATAATCAAATATAAATGTTAACATTAAAACAATATGTACATCATGAGCAGCCAGTTACCCCCCTTCCCCAGTATTTTAGTTGAATAAAGGATGTTTCTCCTAGTCCAAAATATGTATATTTTCCCCTGAAATGCCCTGTGCACATTCTCCATCAGACCCAAGACTTAAGAGCATCTGACTTATATCAGCTTGCTGATAAATTTGATTGACTGAATCACAGAAAGCTGTCTGTATAGATACCCCTTTGCTATGTACCATTCATGCTTAATTGAACTGAAATTGGAAAATTTTTATAAAATGTGTGGATAAATGTCATTCTCAAATATTTGAGTTTGATTTCAGATTTCCCCCCTTTTCTTATCTATTGTGCTATATTTTCCCCTTCAGAAAGTCACAGAATGTTTTGAAAATTGAAAAAAAAAACAAAAATCACTTGCAACAGATAAATGCATAATTCAATATATAAATGTCAACAATATGTACAATATAAGCAGCCGTAACACAAAAATTACTCCATTTTCATTTCTATATACATTTCAAAAGTATAATAATGTCCATAGCATAATTTAAAGATATACATTACAAATAAAGATCAACATTTTTTTGTCCTGAAAAAACAGAATTTTAAAGAAACAACATTACAAGTCAATGTTTATATATAAAATGTTTGGTTGTCCCGAGTTATAATAATCAAGTAGACTTCAAAAATTAGTGATATAACACAAACACGTGTATACTCTACAAGATATCTCTAACATTGAGACACTGGCTAGACATGTTACTGTGCATGTGCGATATGTATATGTTTACAATATAGCTACAGCTGACTAATATTTCTACAATATACTTGTTTAACTACCTGTTTCCTTAACTGGCTTCTTGCTTTCATCTGATATTTTAGCTGCTGCAAGTTTCATGGCCAGACTGGTACGGATGGGTGTCTCATCTCTACGCTGTGCCACAGGCTGGTTCTCTTTCTTTTTTTTACTTGGACTAGGTGTGCCGTTTTGTGGGACATTATCTTCATCTGCAAAACAAATTCCTCAATAAAATAAGAAAGGATTGAAATCAACATGTAACAACCTGAAAAGCATGTAATTCCATCACTGTTATTAACAATGGTAGGCATATTTAAAACATAGCAACAGTTATTTTATATGTCATAAAAATAAGCAATGATATATTCACAAATTCAAAAAATCTAGCTAAACGCTGCTTTCCGGTACTTTCTTTACATAGCTTTGGGAAATTCACCCAATCGAGTCTAACAACGAACGCTTTATGTTTTGGCATATTTTGAATTAAAGTGAAATAAAACTGTTATTTCTTTGTAAGAAAATAATAAAATATATCATTGAATGAATTATTCCATACAAAATATAATACACAGGTTTACGTAGAAAATGTCTTAATTTATCATGGAAGATGCCAAAACGACTGTTTTAATTTTATTGATTTTTATTATAACAATTTAGTTTTTGCAAAACATATTAAAGAAACATAGATTACTTTCAAACACAAAGTTTTTTCACCTTAAATAGTAAAATAATCATAGAAAAATAGAAATATCATGTAACAGTGTTATGTACTTCATTTGGTGTAATTCCCCAGAGCTAAATCCGTAACGTACTGGAAAACGGTGTTAAGCTAGGTTTTCGAAAAGGCCAATTACAAGAAACTCTGTGCTAGAACCAAGTAATTTTTCACAGATAAATTTTGACTAGCAGAATTTTTCCCCCATCCCCGAGTTTTACTGCGGCATATCACTTTTTTAATCAGACAATTCTACATACCACTATCATCACTCAATCTTTTACGCGGTGATGCTTGCAAATCTTTCCTGACAACAGGTGTTAAATTTTCATCATCTGCTTGTTTATTTCTGGCGGAGCGGCGAGTTGATCTTGGTGTATTTTTCTGGCCAGTAGAAACTATTGGTGTGGATTTTGTTGATTCTAAAGATTTTTGTGTCTGGGATCTAGTTGACTTCCTAACTTGAAATTCAAGTTTCCGTTGCACTTGCGCTGACATTCTGAATCTGTAAAATAAAATTTATATAATCAATTTTTTTGGGGGGTAAATTATGGTAGACCTGAAAAATCCTCAGGCATTGAGTTGATTGACCAAGGCTTGAAACTCTGGAACTTGATTACCAGCTAATCGATGTCTGCGATCAATTTTCACTGAAAAATTATGCATTGCAAGAGGATTGAACACAGACTTGTGTACTACTCAGTGCTCTCCCTATTGACACTGATTTTCCTACCTATACTGGGATCCTACATATTTACCGGACAATCAGTTAACCAGACAAAAGCTAATACTGCTGAATAGTGCTTTATTTTTTGCTTCGATTCAAAAATCATACAATCTGAATCTTACACCCACTTTCTATTTCAAAGTAAATAACAACAAAACCACTCTCGGGTAAATATTGTTGATTCAGTTCTTTATCTAATAACATGCCTTTTTGTTTAATAGTTATTTCATGACCTGGTCATGCAGGGGATAATCTGATCTGTGCAGGTCCGAATATGGAGACCCGTAATGGGTTTTTTTTAAGACAGGTTTTACTTTTAATTCTTTTCAACGTTACCTCAAGAGACAATCGTAACATATTTTAATGATCATAAAGAATTTTAAATTTAGTCTAAACAGTATCTCGCTGGCGTCTATTACAAAGAAGTGCAAAATAAAAATCATACAAGGAAACTGTTACGCCCATGGGAGGAAACTCTACATGAAATGTAAATAAAATAGATTTTATGGCTTTTGTAAAATGCTACATGATGACCAAAAGAAAACTGTATGACAAAGAACAGAATTCCATTTGAATATTAAAATGTTTCATATGTTTAAAGATCATGAAGAATCAATACATTAATTTAGTTCATAGTGTTAATTTCAATTTCACCCTATATATTGGCCTCTTTATAACAGGCATGGCGGCCGTGTCTATTTCTAGTGACATACTAGGTTTTTCAAATATCTTAACCTTGCCATTCAATAGTCGTAGTTTCCTTGCTGATTATTTAAAGATTAATTTCAATTCACGAATTCAAAAATTTTTGAAACACAATGTCTGGTAAATTGAGTTGTTTACACGATTTTTTTCCTCTTATAATGCCCAACTTTAAAGACACATTTGTATGGTCAAATGTTAAATTTTATGTTTGATAAAGTGTTTCTTGCATTAAGAACCCAAAATTATTTAGGTAAAATTCCATTCTTTTTTATTATTTAAAATAAAATGTACAGATAAAAAACTTCATATTTTGTCCGGTAAAATGTAGGATCCCAGTATTACAGACTCCTATAAAAGGCCTCTTCCCAATTGAAATTATCTGTAAAATCATGTCCCAAAAATCTGAACTTAAAAGGTCTGCTTTTTAACTTCCCAAATTAGCAATTTTAACAACATTTTCCCCAAAATCAATGGGCTAAGGCCTCTTCCCAATTAAGTGAGAAAAATCACTGATTGAGCTTAGTGGGTGGAATGCAAGTTCAACTGTTCTGTTTGGTACTCCCAACAAATTGTACTGCCCGATGAGATATTGTGCTTTTTTTGTGCCTGGGCAATACCTCACCTCTACAAAAAAATAAAAGCGAGATACTGACGCTGAACGAAAATATCTCAGGATCTTGCTTTGGCACATCTAATACTATTCTGTTTGGCAATAGTTAGACCCCAGGTTTATCAACCTTTATATTTTATACACTAATATACCTACATATACGAAATGAGCCTAAGTTGCCTACCAGTACTGGTAGCAAGACACTTCACCCTCCAGACACTTCACCCCTCAAATTCCAGACAAAATATCAAATTCGAGTTATATACAGATAATAGAAAAACACCATGCGAAAACGTTAACAATTAAATCAGTTTGTTAAATATCAAAACTGCGGTATTTTCCTTATTTACATAAGATATCGCAATGAACAGATGAATGTTTGCACAAACTTTGCAAGTCCATAAAACTTCGCTGCTAAATCGTGTGTATGTCTTTTAATCTGACTGGATCGTAAAAATAATTTATTTTAAACATTACTTTAGTGAATACTCTATTAAATGAAGCATTCCACAAGTTAAAATATTACTGAAAAGATATATTACCTGAAAATTATTTGCTTTTGACTTCTTTGTGCTTCTTTTACCGCTGTTTATCAAAGTTGGCGCGAATCAACAGCTTGCCAGACTGTGATTGGATAAATTAAATGAAGCTAAAGTTATTATTGTCACAAAAAGGAGAAGCAATGAAAAGATGTGGATGATATCGATAGCCTTATTGACACATCAGTTGAGCAACAGTTTACAGAGTTTCATATCGAATGTTACAATTGAACACGGCTTTAATAAAGGATACTTATGTTTTTTTTATTTGATTAAATCGGACCGTTACAATGTAGTTTAGTTTAAACGGGATACGGACAAAGGCCCCCAATGGCAAAAGCCCCCATCTAAAAATGACATACACGTACAGTCGAAAAGCCTCCCATCAAATGTACACATAGAACAAAATACCCCCGTCGAATAAACATTAAAGATAAAAGCCCCCCCCCCCCCGGTCTACCAAATTTACATATAGGACAAAAGCCTCTTCATCTACATTTCTCTTCTTTGTATGCATGTTTGTATTATAGTTGTGTTTGTTTATATCATTTTCTTTTCATCATATACCCATATTGCAGTGCTATCTTTACTTTTATACATGTACGAGTATATGCTATCACGGATTTCTATTACATAAATCCGTGATGCTATCTTTCAATATTCATGCGTTTAAAGAATATTAAGAATATTGTATGGACATCACATATAGTGCTAAGGATATTGATCCCTTCACAAAATAAAGTGATTAACCATTACTAATCTCAGACTGTTTTGTAAGAGGAATAACTGATATAAAAAGCTATGAATTTAGTATCGCGTGCATGTGTTATTTTAATGTGTTTTCATATACGTTGTTATCACTTCAATATGTACATTATAAATAAACATTAAAACAAATTCTTTCATTTTTATTTAAAAGTTAGTGTGAACCTTCATGAATTTGGGCACCTGGGCGTGTGAAAAAATATAGTAGTCAGTCTGGTCGGGGGTGGGGGAGGGGGGGGGGGCTTTTGCCCTGCCTGTATTTTGATGGGGGCTTTTGGCCTACCTGTATTTTTGATGGGGGCTTTGTCCTACCTGTATATTTCAAGGGGGGGGGGCTCTTGTTCACCATGTCATTTTTAGATGGGGGGGGGGGGGGGCTTTGTCCTACACTCGGTGTTAAATCTTTTATTAATTTAAACTCGATTGTAAGGCATTTATTTTCAAGATGTAGAAAAGGCAGAGGCGTCCCTTTTAAGAAAACACTGTGTGGGCACTAGTGTTGGGGCAGGGGGTATGTTTACAAGAAGTCCTAAATTACTCAAAGTGATAAATTTATAGGTTTGTCTAAATACATAATTACAAACCAATGAAAAGAGCAACAAAGGAAAGCGAAATTTACTAACCTTATCGCCAACGACACCTAGCTACACATGTACACAGTGCAATCGTTATAAAGCACCCAACAAAGGAACTCACAGTTAAGTATATACAGACCTATGACTAAATATAAATTGACGCTCAAAGAGCTTCGAATGTCATTACTCAATAGCATATTAAGCTTCCATATGTTAAATGTTTAAGTGAAGCAAATCACATGTATGAAAGATAAACAAAAAGCTTATAGTACCTACTAAAATAAAACAGATAGTCATTTTGAACGCAGTGTCAACAAAAGAACTTCGAAAAACTATTTATATACGAATTTTGTATTTGAAATTACAATAAATCATTTCGCTGCAGTACTTTCCAAAATAATAAATAATAAAAAAACAATGAAATTGGTTGGTCGTGACGGAGGATCGAATTTGCACGGCAAGTTCTAAAAGCATACGACACTACTACTTCGCTAATACAGCTTTCGCTGTGTATATAAGCAATTTTACTTATATATCTAGGCAAGACACAATCTTAAAATTTTATATATTAACACAGTGTTTGTTTCAAGTTTCAAATTTATTCTAAATCTACTTTGTGAAACTTGTTTAGACGGGGTTGCAGTTTCAATCATACATTCCTAAAGGGAAAAAGAAATGACAGGCAAGATGTCTGGACTTCATCGCTTCGTTTCCTCATCAACACAAGCACTACCGCAATCTTGGTATGGTGGATCCTGGTCATCATATTTGCAATATCTACATTTTGAATTCAGTGGACCCAAAACTTTTATGTAGTCAACAACGTCATCTATACCTGCTAATTTTTGTTAGCGCAACAGTTCTTAACAGAACAACTTTATGAAACGGCAACATGTTCGTTATAAAATAACACGGACTTTAATTGTAATATAAACACTTTTTTTTCAAATAAGATTATTGCTAATTTCATACATATTAGGACCTACACATATGTCGCTCTTACCCAACATTTTTAATGCATTTTTGCATTCGTTTTTTCAATTCTGAGAAAAAGTGTGGGCACTTGCCTACGCTGCATATAGGAAGCCAAATGTATGGTAATTGGGTTAGAAAATAAATTTAAATCCAAACCTTCATTAGATATAAATATAGAAGGAACATGCCTAAGTCAAACGAAATCACAGAAATTATAAGGAATTTACTTAAATGAAAACTTAAAATCGAATGTTCAAATAAATCGACGTCTGTAATAAATTACAAAAATGAATTGCTCTGTTAAAGCGTATATCGTACTCTTTATCCGCGGAAATGAAAGAAATGATTTACAATGCCTATATTTACCCTGTTTTGATTACTGTTGTATAATATGGAGTACATGTAATAAAACTGAATTTGAAAAACTAAAGTGCAGAAATGTGCGGCAAAGATAATATTGTGTAAACCAGTTAAAGCGCCATCTTTACAGCTTAAATTGTTTAACCTTTGAAAATAGATGCACGTATCATACTGCATTATTAGTATTTAAATCTATACAAATCTTTCCTACATTTCAGATACACGGTGCATTTCCATATCGGTACCCTCTTTGATTTAGTAGGCTAGAGTCTCGTTCGTTATCGGAATTAACCAGCGTTGTTTTTGCCGCGTGGAGGTCGTAAAAAGTCGCCCAGTACATTCAATCAGGGATGTTATATTTCCGATCCTTAAAGATCGTTCGGCACGACATAATTGTTGTGCTTTTGTTTTTTTAGTTTTTTCTATTCGGCATCTTTCTTGTTGGGTGGTTCCATTATTCCTAACTTGAATAATGTTTAATCACCCTTAGGATATGTGGCCTGCTTTTTGAAATTTGTGTTTTGACGTCATATCTGTGATATGCAGGCTTTATAACCTCAGATACCCTTTCAAAATTCCGTTTTATTTAGTTCCGCCCATTGTTTTCTCGTTTAGGGCACATGCATTTTTTTTACTTGGGGACGATATGCCGTTTTTCATGGAATGGCACTAACGTGTCACATTGAAGGTTCCATGATAACCGCCATATGAACACATCTGCGGATGTTTCAAAATTCTAAATTTTACCAGTTCACGTTAAATGTTTAATTCTGCTTAAGTCGGTGCTAGGGGGCGTTGGCGATAACTTGCTCCATGAACAGGCTCAATCAAACCGAGCCTGCAACGTTTGCAACACTATTTAGCTGTTATAACCAGAAACTGATGAAAACACTTTTATACATGTGAAACATTTGTGTTCTTGATGCGAACATTTTTCATCGTTTTCCGAAAGTAAAGTTGTCGGAAGATGTATCAGATGTCACATGATCACAGAAAGCATTGACACGAGCTGATAAGATACAAATTTTACACAAATAATGCAAAATAATGTTGTAAAATCAAGAAAACTTTGATAAACATGGTACCGCATCATGCAGAACCATGACACGTATAGGTTAGAGTGCATATTGGGTGTTCTTCGTAAATAAGATTTGCTTAAAAAAATTGGCGAGCACTAACGCTTGTTTTTGCGCGGTAATACTGCATACATGTACTTTAAAATGTGTTTAACCGTTTGTGTTTATTTTTTTTTTTTTGGGGGGGGGGGTATTGTTATTTTTTATTGCAGGATTTACAAGAAAAGGTAAATGTTTGGTTACCGGTTAGCCTAAGCGATTGGGGCAGTGGATTACCTGGGCCTGGAAGCAATCTGGACATCTTTAGTGTTTTTTTTTTAAAGATAATTTCTTATTAAAATTCTGTGCTTTCGTAGCAATTGCATTTTATGTCTGTTGTGAAGTTAAACTTTTCTGTGGACTCGGGAATTGCATAATTTTTGCTGATATCAGTCACTGAACTTTTACTCTCAAATTCGTTAATACAACACACAAGCAAGCCAAAGCTCATATTTCTAAAATAGTATTTCTTTTTTACATTTGAATTTTAGTTACTTAACAAATTGACTTGGCACGAAACTTACTCATGTTACTGAATTTAAGAAAAGTGGCAACTATTTGATTGAGATCCTCTCTGTATTTATTACACGACTATACTCCCAGCAGAGCTATTCAAAAAGTGTCTTCATACGTCTGTAAGATATGGTGGCTGATTTGGTACATTGCGCGTTGCGTTGTATTGTTATCGCGTTTTCGTCTTGTCGCTAGCGACAACACGACAAAGCGCCAAACGGCGTTGTTGCGATCTCGTCTTGTCGTCCTGTCTCTAGCGAAGCACGCCAAACTACGCGTTGTCGTGCGGCGCGATGTCGCCCTGTCACTTGGCTTATAAGCCAATCCTTTGATTTGAACCGAGCGACAATGTGACATCGCGACAGCACGCCGCACGCCTCGCCCAGATGGGCAACAATAAATAAATACAAATAAGATTATTCACCATAAGGATAATCATCATGATGCGGTGCAAGTCTAGCGCTAATGTATACAGTGCCACAATTTTCGGTGCGGACCCATGACACGGTACCAAGAACTCGGTCAGTTGTCACACTTTTATGACTTTTTTTTAAAGAAATTAAACAGCTTAAATTTGTGTGCAATATTCTGTGTATAAATATCTTTAATGCTTGTAGCAACGCTATATGTCGCAACGCCGCTATATGTCGCAACTAACTCTAAATGTCGCAACGCTGACGCTATATGTCGCAATCAACGCTATATGTCGCAATCGGCTACCGCTAAATGTCGCAACGTTGCCGCTATATGTCGCACAAAAATCGATTGTCGCTAAATGTCGCAACCCCTTGACGCTAAATGT